GGCCACTCTGCCATAAAGCCCTGACTGGTGGAGGGCTGCAGTGATGGTTGACTTTTTACAACTTTCTCCCATCTCCCGACTGCATCTCTGGAGTTCAGCCACAGTCATCTTTGGGTTCTTCTGTACCTCTCTCACCAAGGCTCTTCTCCCCTGATAGCTCAGTTTGGCCGGACGGCCAGCTCTAGGAAGGGTTCTGGTCGTCCCAAACGTCTTCCCTTTAAGGATTATGGAGGCCACTGTGCTCTTAGGAACCTTAAGTGCAGCAAATTTTTTTTTGTAACCTTGGCCAGATCTGTGCCTTGCCACAATTCTGTCTGTGAGCTCTTCAGGCAGTTCCTTTGACCTCATGATTCTCATTTGCTCTGACGTGCACTGTGAGCTGTAGGGTCTTATATAGACAGGTGTGTGGCTTTTCCTAATCACGTCCAATCAGTATAATCAAACACAGCTGGACTCAAATGAAGGTGTAGAACCATCTCAGGGATGATCAGAAGAAATGGACAGCACCTAAGTTAAATATATGAGTGTCACAGCAAAGGGTCTGAATACTTATGACCATGTGATATTTCAGTTTTTCTTTTTTAATAAATCTGCAAAAATGTCAAATTCTGTGTTTTTCTGTCAATATGGGGTGCTGTGTGTACATTAATGAGGAAAAAAATGAACTTAAATGATTTTAGCATATGGCTGCAATATAACAGAGTGAAAAATTTAAGGGGGTCTGAATACTTTCCGTACCCACTGTATGTCAGCTACTTTCTAAGCGGTTACTGTAATGATACTTGACCATTGCTTTTGAAGTATTATTGTTCACAGTGAAGAGTGTGAGAAGATGATGGCACTAGTCGACAGTTGTTATCTGACCACTTGATGTCAGTGTGCGCCCTTGGTTGAGATGGTTCAAGGCAGGAGCACGCCACATCACATTTCTTCATTTGTTTGATGTTGTCATGGATGATTCTGCAACTGCCAGAGTGAATCATTGCTGCTAGGAAACCTTTTCACTGTATACACCGCCACAGATAAGACACCTTTGCAGTTATGACAGTTTGGATTTTCTCTGTTTTGGATATTACTGAGCTCATTACTTAGGATGTTGATTATTTGTAGTGCAAGTAATATGATTAAACTCACTGAATTGAAATGGAAAACAGTTACATGAACAACTGACTCCAGGGTTCCCAGATCACCACAACAAAGAACATCTCAATAGAGGGTTTTCTGTGCTCCGTCAGCCTACCAAAACCTTGATGATGCCAAAGGAAAGTGTTAAGGGACTATCAGTATTTTTAGTCTTGGCGATTGTGTGCCTATGAAGGGAAAAGCACCGTATACTCAGCATTTGTGGAGAAAGAAGTGTTTTAGGTGCCTTCTTTCCAAACTGTCTAGACAAGCTAATTACCTAGCACATCATCTGTTTGTTTGTTTTTTTATTCCTGTCTGAAAGAGTTGGGTGTGGAGCTTTAAAAAAAATCCACTAGAGTTTGCTTCAGTAACAGTTGTAAGATATATTTTATGAAAGTTGGAAATAATCCCATCACTACTCTACTTTTTATCATATAATCAGATGCTGTTTTTTCTGAATATGGCTTCAGAGGGAATCCTGCTTTACTCAGCTGCCACCTTCCACTACTTAAAAGTGTTTAACTGGAATGTTTTTCCCCTCACTCTGTCAATTGTTATACAGACACAAGTGGACTTATCAGTTGTATATAGAGATCACTCATAAGGCAGATTAAACTCATATAGGGTGTAAAATCTGTACTCGGTGTGCATTAGTTCTTCAGACCTGGTTCAATATGATCCTCCTCCTCTCATTGTCGACCACACCTCTACAAACTAAAGCAGCTTACACTTTTAAACAGCAGAGGGCAGTTAGTAGCTACTTAAGGTATCATCTGTATAATGTTCAGTAGGCCATGTTGGGGAAACTACTTTGAAAGCACAGCTTTGCAAGATACCAGTTACTTCCCGCTGGAAGAAGTTGAACTACAGCAAAGGTGCTATACTCTGGCAAGGAATCTAGTTTGGTTAACTAAAGCTAGTTCAGTTCATAAAAGCAGTTCATACCTTTGTAAAAGATAATCTAATGGACAATGTACATGCAATGCAAAAAGTCATATGCCAGCCAAAAATGCAGCTCAGTAGAGTTTTTTACCTGAGGCCTAACCTGCGCTAAATAAAACTGTCCCATGGGCTTTTTAAAAAACAAGGGCAGCATTGCAAGGAATGATTGATGTAAGTATATGTCTTAGCAACTGAACAGTCTTCAACTTGCACCTTGTTGGGCAGTGTGAACAGTTTGAACACTGATCTAAATAATGGGTCCTTCTCCTTTCTTTATACTTGTCAGAGACACAGAGTTCTGTTGGACACTGTTAGTGTCCTTAGCAATGACGAAAAGCTGCTCACATACAGACTGGAAAAATAAAAACTAAATTTTAACTTACGTTCTTTGTCCCAAAATTAATTGTACAAAGAACGGCAACAAAAAGTTAATTACTTGAATC